CGCTGATATTATTTATATCATTTCTACACTAATGCAGTAGTCTGCATAACAGTAAATCTTCTATTTTTTGTGAGAATAAAAATTCAAAGTGAAAAGCAAAAGAATGTAAGAGGGGCCTCGGGATGTGACTAATGAACAGAGGAAGTGTTATTTTAGTGCCAGGAATGTCTTGTTTATTCTGGACCCTATTTGAAAATTGGCATCTTTTGAAATTCGTGTGAAATTGGCAAAATTGCTAAATTCTGACCACTTTATTGGATAGTTGAAATCGGTAAATGGGTGGTTTCTTGTTCTCATTCGATAGAAAAAATGGAGTTCTAGCGAAATACTTTTGTTGACCACTACACTGGAATTGGCCAAAAATAGGGCTCAAAGTGGGCAAAATCGCCAATGCGTAAACATCGTTGAGACCGCTAAATTTGCGAGAGCATAATTCCGTAAGTTTTCCATCAAATTTTATACTTTTGGTGTCATTATGATCGGGAAAAGATTCTCTTTCTTTTCATGAGAATTTTTTTTTTTTTTAAATTTGTCGACCCTGAGAACAAGTCTGGGAGGGGGACTGTCGACCCTGAAAGGGTTAAATGTACAAAAAAGGGGAGGTAACTAAATGAACATTAGTACAATTTAGAGTCTGCATTTATACTTCAGACTGGTATTGTTGATTCTTGTTTGCTTATCTGCTGCTGCTGCTGCTGCAGCAGCAGCCGCAGCCGCAGCCGCAGCCGCAGCCGCAGCCGCAGCCGCAGCCGCAGCCGCCGCCGCCATCGCCATCCAGTACCTTTGTACCTCACAGAGACTATTGTTGGCACATTAATTTTCTGTGAAATTTTACGTTGTTTTTGGAAGCCCCCTAGACTATACATTATTCAAGGTACTAGTTGGCAATTTGGTACATCATGTGGCGGCATGAGGCTAAGGACTGAGCAACAATTTGAGAAAATAAAAATCCAGTTAAGACAAAGCCAAGGTGAAGCTTATGCTAGTCAAAGCATCATGCAAGTTATTGCTGCTCAGTAGGCTGGTGAACCAGTTGAGGAGCATTACTTCAACAATCTTGCCAGGTCTATTTTATTTTTAACACACCAGCTGTCTTCCACCAATGCAGGGTGACCTGAAAAAGAAGAAACCAAAGACCAGGCCTATTACTGACTAATGTTTTAGTCGATAGCAGATTGTAAACAGTAAAAAAAAGTTTAGCACTTCAATTAAGCAGAGTTTAACTAGACAAAAAAAAAGCTGCTGGTCATTAAGCTTTGCTTATAGTGTTCATTATGACAACAAAATGCACAAAATTTTCTGCTCCTCATGATACATTATTAATAAAGATCATTTTGACATTATCAAACAACAACAGGAATCTGACATTGTGTGATAACATCATTGTCATACAAAGGAAATCTGGTGTTGTGTGTTGACAACATTGTCACACAGCAAAGAGAGTTTGGTATTACTGTACACATCAAGCAGCTTCAAGCAGACCTTAATCCCACTGAAGAAGAGTTCATTGATGAAAAGTAGACCATTCCTTTAAACTGATGTCTCAGAGCTCAGTTGGTAGTGCACTCAGCTTGCACATTGAGATCCATGGTTCGATCCCTGATACGGGTGGAAACATTGGGTGTGTTTCCTCAAGACATCTGTTGTCCCTGTTCACCTAGCAGTAATTAGATACATGAGTGATAGCTGACTGGTGTGGGTTGCATCTTTGGGACAAAATTAACTTAAGTTGCAGGAAATGCTCTGCATAACTAGGGGCTTTCTGTATAGTATGTTACTGATGTTAGCTAGGTCTGTGTAAATTGTATCATGTATGTGTAGAAATAAAGATGATGATTATTATTTAGGCTGGTGCCTGGTAAAAGGGATTATGGTGGGTAGAGATGAAATTGTTTTTACCATGATTGTAACAAAACTGAACAGTTTTGTGAGCAATAGATTTTGTATTAATGTAGGTAGAATTACCCACAATATGTTAGGTAAGAGGACACTGGTGCAACTAATGCAACATTTTGCTGTGGCAATGTTTTGCTCTCTAGGAGCTTTGTCAAGCTGTTATTATGTGTGTCCATGTATTGTTTGTAACGGCTTGACAAAGCTCCTGGAGAATGAAATGTTGACACAAAATGTTACATTAGTTGCAATTGTGTCCTTTTACCTAACAGCAATAGATTTTTGCTCAGTATTTCTAAGGTCTGTTAAATTGAGGGTTCACTCTAATCAATTACCTTCATGATTTTGCTCCCTAACTTTAAACAGCAAAGTTTTACAAAGATTCAAATTCAACTTAAATTTTTTATGCCTTTTTATGCTGTACAAAGATAATGTAATTTATATGGAAAAAAATCGTTGTTTGACACAAAAGTAAGTCACTAGTAAGCAAATGCATTTCTGGCAAACTCATTCTAATGCTTAAAGACTACATAAGCATTAGACATACTATTAAGTAGGATTTTTTTATTCAGTTTACCATTATGTTGTAAGAGGTGACTAAAATGCTGGGAGCAAGAGACTAGTAACCCCTTTTCCTGTATAAATTACTAAATTTAAAAAAAATTAAAACTTGTTTTTCTTTTTAAACTTAGTAATTTAAATTTAGTAAATTTTCTTTTTAGGATGACCAAAAAAGAAAAAGATAAACACAAGTTTTTCTTTTTAGGTTACCCTGCCTTGTTAAATGGTCAGTTTGTTGAAAAAAAAAAAACTATTATATGCACAGTTGAATTTTTAAGTGAAGTACAGAAGAGCCCTGCATATACAGCACCTTCTTTTTGGTGTTCCATATTTTTGTTGGCCTCAAATTGAGCCATTGTTCATTATGTTCTACTCACCGCCACCGGCATGGTCACCAGCAGGTGGAACAATAGTCCATTTGAAAGCCAACAAAAATGTGGAACACCAAGAAGAAGATACTGTATATGTGGGGATCTCCCTTATTAGAGTAATTTTGGGAAAATAAAAGATACGGCCAGTGCCTGAACACAAAACTATAGAAAGAGGAGTAACAAAGAATCAGTCTCGGCAGTCGAACACAGTTGGTAAGTATGTACTAAAAGACTTGCATTCATTAAACACTAACACATTTATTAATAGATTATGGCTAAGTTTCCACAAATTATTGATTTTATTTTAGCACATCTCTTGTAGTAATAGTGATTCCATATGTAATTTTCATCAGAAATAAATTTGACCAAAAATAAATTTGGCCAGAAATAAATTTGAAAGTAAATAAATTTGAAAAGAAGTAATTTTGACCAGAAATAAATTTTGCTATAAATATTTCAGTTACCTGTATAGCTCAAAACCTATATCAACAGTAAGCTCTTATAAGGTCCTTCTGTATAGTGGGATATTTTGTAAATTCTATTTAAAAAAGCACACCCCAAACCAAATAATATATACTATAAAGTCCTTTCCACATGCTGTGTAATTCTGTACATACAGCTAGGCCTCGTTTAGTGCGAATAATAAATCCCATGAAGTGGTCACATTTTTCCAATTATATACAGTATTTCAATTTAAGGAATGTAGATTTACAGTGGAACTGTCATAAAGAATTACTATACTGTACTACAGTACTTACAGATCGAAACCTAAACACGGCCTTCTTCGACCCTGCTGGAGGAGGGGGGGGGGACCCAATTCTTTACCAACACTTATTCTGATTTTTTTGGACACCCAGAAGTTTACATTCTGATCCTCCCAGCCTTCGGTATAGTAACCCGCATTGTAACACAAGAATCAAGTAAAAAAGAAGCATTCGGAACCCTAGGCATAATCTACGCTATAACAGCAATTGGGATCTTGGGCTTTCTAGTGTGAGCACATCACATATTTGCCGTAGGTATAGATGTTGACACCCGAGCATACTTCTGCAACCATGATCATTGCTATTCCAGCAGGAATTAAATCTTCAGATGGTTAAGAACCCTCCAAGGTTCCCAATTCTCCTACACACCCTCCCTTCTATGAACATTAGGGTTTATTTTCCTATTTACAGTAGGTGGATTAGCAGGAGTTATTCTAGTAAATTCATCAATCGATATTATTCTTCACGACACGTATGTATTATGTTGTAGCCCACTTTCATTATGTTTTATCAATAGGAGCAGTACAGTATTTGGAATCTTTGGGGGAATCGTTCATTGATTCCCACTATTTACTGGATGCTCCCTGAATCCCTCATGATTGAAATCACATTTTTTCCACTATATTCCTAGGAGTTAACTTAACCTTCTTTCCTGAACATTTTTTAGGATTAAATGGTATATCATGACGGTATTCGGATTACCTTGACGCCTGTACATCACGAAACATTGTTTCATCAATTGACCAAATCCAAATACGTATATGTTACTCTACAGACCAAACCCTCTAAGAATTCTTATCTTGGTTTCAAGATATGAACCTATACTCATTGCATAATATCAACTTATACTACAAGTATCATGCCTGATAAAAGGACAGTTTTGATAGAACTGCTCGTGTAGTACTCTACCCATCCTATTACATTTCCTGGCTTATTCTGAAGAATGAAATCATTACAGTAGAACCTCGGTGTTTGTATGCCCTAATTTGTGCGTAAAACTATAGTTATTCTCTATAAAATGTACTTTTTGTAAAAATTTTTGGGTGTCTGGAACGGATTAATTGGATTTACATTATTTCTTATGGGAAATATTGCTTCAGTTTTCGTATGATTCAGTTTATCGTCAGACTTTTTCGAATGGATTAAGCATGAAAACCGAGGTTCCACTGTATATTAAAATTAATGTATTTAATTCTTAAAATAATATCTGTTAGCAGTGATTGTGCTTGTAGGATGGTAACCTTTCATAAAACTGCATCCACTTGGTAACTGACGTGACTGCGAGGTTATCAATAGTGTCTTGATGTAGGGAGAGTGGTAGTGTGCATTTTATGATCCCTTGAAGCAGTGATGTGGAGGTCTGGTGAGTGTGATGTGCCACTAGTGAGGTGTGTGTTGCTTGTCTTGTCAGGCGCAGCCACATAATCTGCCCTCCAGTAGAGATGGTGCAAGCAGAGGGGGGGCTCCAGCCTCCTACAGACCCCCTCACGCCCCCCCTCTCTCTCTCCGACTCACTTTCCAACGAAATGCAGTAAGCATGTTAATTTTCTATTTTTTAACGTTGCAAGCACTCTTCAAAAAAATTTTTGTTTTTTGTTTTTAACAAATAAAATATACATTACAGTGTAATAATATTAAAGATTTCTGTATTATTTCACAAGTGACAAACCATTTATTGCATCTTTCTTCGTGCTTACAGTGATGTATAGAAACAGTGAATCAATAAAGACATTAGAGGGCAAATTTGATGATTCTTGCCTTTATTTATTTTAATGTTTTATTTTATTTCTTCTCAAAAAGCAAAAGAATGTTTTATTTTTGGGAATGCTGTAAACGAGCCATGAAGGCATAGATACTGAACATTGGTGCAGTTGTAAGTGCGAGGTCTACACATGCCATGGATGCTGATACCTTGTGATTGCAGCAGTTGCTATGCATCTACCACTTGAAATGAACTTGCATTGTGTTGTGTAATTTGTCGAGCATATCGTGGCACTATTTCTTAGACCTTTATGGGAATTAATACAACATTAAGTCTGGTCATGATGACTAAAAGTAGGTATGAATCATACACTGTGTCATGAGTAAATACTTTGGTGATTAAGAAAGTTTAAGCATTGTTACTGCAAACATAGCCATGAAAAGCTTGAAGATTACTGTGCATGCATATAAGCAAAGCATATTGGTGATGCCTGTCTTGCCAAACTGGCTTGAGGTAAGAAGCATGTTAGTACATATGTTAATGTCTCACCAGTCTGTGGATGTTGGGCCAAACCTCTTTCTTTCATAGTGGATGCATCTGCATGATGTTTACTAGCCATTGTGTTAATGGAAAAATAAATACCAGTGCTTCATAGTAGAGTATAATGGAGTTGACTGATAGTTGATACTGTTTAGCCTACTTGATAGTACAGCAATGTATAGTTAGAATTATATGGCTATTGCTTCAGTGTTTGAGATTGTCTTATGATGTATGGTAAGTATGTATCATTTTATTTCTAATGTATATTTTATTATTGTTAATATTGTATATAATTTTTTTGTTTTTCAGTTTCAAAATTTTCTGAGAGCTAATTATTTATTCACAAGTGATGAGTAAGATGTCATTACCTCTAAATGCCATTAGAATTTAAATCCATTATATTAACTGGAAATGATCTGAGGAGCTGCTTTTGGAAACATTAACATATTAACAGATTTTTTTTTTAACACACGGGTCATCTCCCACCAAGACAGTGTGACCCAAAAAAGAAACATCTTTACCATCATTCACATCATCACTGTCTTGCCAAAGGCACACACATACGACATTTCAGATGACTCCTAAGAGCAAATATCCCCACCCCTCCTTTAGAAGAACATAAATACACAGGAAATTCCACATTGCCTGTCAGCTTATGTGAGGAAACTCCAATTTACACCCAACCATTATCACTTGTGTATTTGTCTAATTCACAGCAAGCCACAACTTAAAAACAATATGTGAAGTACAGTAGGGCCCCACTTATATGGCAGGTTAGGTTCCAGGCTACTGCCATAAACCGGGAATTGCCATAAGGTGGAACGCCCTTTTTTCCACTTATAACTGCATATAAATACTAGGTAACAAGTTTACATTAACATAGGTTAATAATAGAACTAGGAATTAAAAACAATAAAAAAGTAAAATACACATATACATAGTGTACTCATTACTTAAAATATTTGTAGTCTTAATGTAGGGTGAGATGAGAAATCAGTTGGGGGAGGTATGGTAGCCAGCCAGGCCAGGCCACCCAACCCCACCCACACATAATGAGTATATATAAAATATGAAATTTTGGAAAGTTTCCAAACACAATGGAAAGACACGGAACTCATGGAGAATGTAAACAAACCAGGTGGGTCGCAGTGACTGTCGGGGGGGGGGAGTATAGCAAGTTTTGGTCATAATTTGAAATGTTTGTATTAGCAGAATGCCCTACTGTATTCTCTCTCTCCTAGACCATTAACTCTTCAGGACAAACTGAAATATTTTTTCATTTCCAATTAAGAATTTGTTGGGGTTAGTTCCAGCCATAGCATTTTGACTTATATTTATCAATTTGAATTTGAATTATTGCTAATATTACTTGTCCCGTAGCTTAGTTGGTAGTGCACTCCACGCATTGAGTGTCCATGGTTCGATCCCCATTACAAGTGGAAACATTAGGTGTGTTTCCTTAACCCTTTGACTGTTGCAACACCAAATCCGGAAGTGTGTTTGTGTCACAAAATTTTGAAAAAAAAAAAAAATTATTTTTCTCATGAAATGATAGAGAATCTTCTCCTGATGTTAATGACACCAGAAGTACGAAATTTGATGGAAAACTTACAGGATTACGCTCTTGCGAAGTTAATGATCTCAGCGATGTTTACACATTGGCGATTTTGCCCACTTTGAGTACTATTTTTGGCCAATTCCATTATTCCAGTCGACCAGACTCGTAACAATTTCTTTACAACTCCATTTGCTCTATCGATTAAGTACAAGAAACCGCCCATTTACTGATTTCAACTACCCAATAAAGTGGTCAGAAATTGTCAATTTGGCCAATTTCACACAAATTAAAAAAGATGCCAATTACAAAATAGGGCCCAGAATGAACAATGCAGACATTCCTGGCACTAAAATAACACTTTCTCTGTTCATCAGTCATGTCTCCATTTTGAATTTTTATTCACACAAAAAATAAAAGATTTACTGTTATGCAGTCTACTGCATTATTGTAATAATTGTATAAATAATGTCAGTCCATTCATGACTGAGTATTAGAAGGGCTAATTGGACACTTATTGGACAATGACGCCACTTGTTTACTCTTGAATGTCGGTAAAAATCGAACATTTCCCCTACTTTTCATCAAGAAACCAGTCAGAATCATCTCTATTTCTGTAATATGTCTTCCATTCTATCAAATGAGACCAGGAAAATGAGAATACAACTATAAATACTATACGAAAATACACCTCAAATTCGGCATTTTTATCCAAAAACACAGTTGGAGTTTTTTTTTCTCATGCACTGCATGCCGTAGGATTTTTTTTATACTTCACATACTGGCCACACAGACCCATTCTCTCACATGTGGGCCTACTAGCTTTCTCCCACCGGCTCGTAAGACGTATATATACAACCGAAACAGTCAAAGGGTTAAGACACCTGCTCTCCCCGTTCACTTAGCAGTAAGTAGGTACCTGGGGAACAAAATTAATTGAAGTTACAGGAAATAATCTGCATAACCAGGGGCTTTCTATATAGTAGGTCGTTGATGTCGACTATGGTCTGTATAAGTTGTATCATGTACTTGTAGAAATAAATATTATTATTACATATTATTATTATTGTTATTGTCCAATCTACCATATACTTGAAGCTTTCTAGTTTATGAATGGCATTGATGCTTCATGGTAACTAATCTGTTCCTGAACTAGTCTTTACCTGATACTATATTACTTTTCTAAATCTGAAAACTTTACCATTTGAATTTGATGTTTTGATTTTTATCTTATTTTTTTTTTTACAACCCTTGTGCTTTCTCTCTCTCTCTTAATAAATCTTTTCATCCATTTTGTGTACATTCTTCATGTTACAACTCATTGTACACTATTTAAGAAAATGATGCAATAAGATCACAGTAAACAGGTGATATCACAGTTTGCAAAATAACCATTGTGAAAAAATAGTGAATTTCAAAGTGCTTTCATGATTTCTCACATTATCAAGGAACTGTAAAAATAATAGAACAGCAGAAGACTTTTAAGACTAAGATAACATCTCACATATGACCAGAATGCTTATAAGCATTCTGCTGTCCTATTAGTCCTATTATTTTTTTAAGATAATGTAAATTAGTTTCCTTAATAAGTCTTAATAAAAAATAGTCCCTTGAAAATGTTAAGGATTAGGTTAATTGTCGTTTTTTGTTTTATTTCAAGAGAACTGATGTCATTGTGCTATAATGTAGTGACCAAAGCTGCACTTCACAATACAAGCTAGTTCTTAACCCTTTGACTGTTGCAAGCCTCTTTCTGAAACTGTCATTCTATGTCGCAAAATTTTTGGAAAAAAAAAAAAATTCTTGTGAATTGATAATCTTTTCTCGATGGTAATGACACCAAAAGTACGAAATTTGGTTGAAAACTCATTGAATTATGCTCCCGCGAAGTTAGCGGTCTCGGTGACATATACGCATCGGCGATTTTGCCGACTTTGAGCCCTGTTTTTAGCCAATTTCGTTGTCCCAGTTGACCAAACTCATAGCTATTTCTTTAGAACTCCATATTTTCTATCAGTTGAGTACAAAAAACTGCCCATTTACCAATTTGAACTACCCAATAGTGGTCAGAAATTGACAATTTGGCAAATTCATGCAAATTAAGATGCCAATTTCAAAATAGGGTCCAGAATAAACAATGTAGACATTCTTAGCACTAAAATAACATATCCTCTGTTCATTAGTCACGTCTCTAGGCCCCTCTTATATTACTATTGCTTTGTATTTTGATTTTTTATTCATACAAAAAATACAAAATTTACTGTTATGCAGACTAATGCATTATTGTAAAAATGGTATAGATAATATCAGTGCACTAGTGAAAGAATATTAAACTTCACAGTTGATGTGTATTGGACGTGTGGTGTGATTTGCTTACTCCTGAACATTGGTAAAAATCTAACATTTCCGCTACTTTGAACTCAATTTCAAGGTCGTTTTCATCGTGAAACTAGTCAAAATCATCTCTATTTCTTTAATATGTTTTCCATTTTATCACATGAGACCACGAAAATGAGAATATAACGATAAATACTATATGAAAATGCACCTCAAATTCGGCGTTTTAATCCAAAAAAGTCTTTTTCTTTTTTTCACATTATGCACTGTGTGCTGCAGGATTTTTTTTTTTTTTGGTGCACACTGACCACACAGACCCATTCTCTCACATGTGGGCCTACCAGCTTTCTCCTGCTTGATTTGAAGCCGCTAAAATTTACGCGTATTAATACGTCCG